CTGTTATGGAAAACAGTTTGGTAGTTCTTCAAAATGTTGAACACAGAGTTACCACAGATTCAACAACTCTGTTCTTTGGTATATACCCAAGAGAGCTAAGTCCACAGAAAAACTTGTGCATGAATATTCAAAGCAGCATATGCACAATAGCCAAAAGTAGAAATAACTCAAATGTCCATCAACTGACGAAGGTATGCCCATACAATGACATATTGTTTGGCCACAGAAAGAAATGAAGTATTTATGCACGCTGTTCAACATGGATGAACCTTGAAAACATGGGAAGTGAAAAAAGTGAGACACACAAGACCACATATTGTATGATTCTATTTATATGAAAAATCCAGAATAGGAAAACCTATAGAAACAAAGAGTAGATCAGTTGCCTAAGGCAGGGGGGGAAGTGGGTGATATAATGAGGAGTGACTCCTAATGGGTAAACAGGGTATTTTTTTTTGAGGGGGGGGTAATGAAAATGTTTTGAAATTAGCTGTGAAATGGTTACACAACCCTGTGAACTTATTAAAAATGAGTGAATTGTACACTTTAATTGGATGAATTTTATGGTCTATGAATTGTGTCTCAATAAAGCTGTTACAGGTTATAAACTATATAAAGCTTACTCTGTAAGGATTAGCATATTAAGGGCTATGTCCACTTAGGGCTATGTATTTTTTTCACCTAGAAATTGTACTAGTATTATTCTTTGGAAAATGGTAATTTTACTTATCACTGTGATAATTTATTTGCACTTGGACTTACTTCTTGATTACAAGGAGATTTCTAGATATAGACATGAAGAAATCTTTAAATATTCTCCAGATTACCTTTTCTGGATCATGTACAATTTATACCTGTGATGGGTTATACTTTAAAAAAAAATACCTTGCCCTAAATTCCTTTACAGGCTTAGGGTCAAGTGACAATAATCTGAATGGCTACCACTGAGGAACTTTGAGTTTTAGAAAGTATAGCCAGGTATTCACAGACCTGTGAAAAATTAAAAACAAATGGGAAATGCAAGAGTAGAGAGCTCAAATATAAACCCACACATATATGGCCAATTAATATCTGATAAGGGAGCCATGGATATATAATGGGGAAATGACAGCCTCTTTAACAAATGGTGTTGGCAAAACTGGACTGCTATATGTAAAAGAATGAAACTGGATTATTGTCTAACTCCATACATAAAAGTAAACTCAAAATGGATCAAAGACCTGAATGTAAGTCATGAAACCATAAAACTCTTAGAAGAAAACATAGGTGAAAATTCGTTGAATATAAATATGAGCAACCTTTTCCTGAACGCACTTCCTTGGGCAAGGGAAACAAAATAAAAAATGAACAAGTGGGACTGTGTTAAACTAAAAAACTTCTGTACAGCAAAGGACACAGTGAGTATAACAAAAAGGCATCCTACACTATGGGAGAATATATCTGTTAATGACATATCTGACAAGGGGTTAACAACCAAAATATATAAAGAACTCACACACTTCAAGACCCAAAAAGCAAATAACCTGATTAAAAAATGGGTGGAGGATCTGAACAGACACTTCTCCAAAGAAGAAATTCAGATGGCTAACAGGCATATGAAAAGATGCTCCATATCACTAATTATCAGAGAAATGCAAATTAAAACTACAAAGAGATATCACCTCACACCATTTAGAATGACCAACATCCAAAAGGTAAGAAACAACAAATGCTGGCAAGGATGAGGAGAAAGGGGAACCCTCTTACGCTGTTGGTAGAAATGTAAATTAGTTCAACCATTGTGGAGAGCAATACTGAGGTTCCTCAAAAACTAAAAATAGAATTACCATTTGACCCAAGAATTCCACTCCTAGGAATTTACCCAAAGACAACAAGATCCCAGATTCAAAAAGACATATGCACCCCTATGTTTATTGCAGCACTGTTTACAACAGCCAAGATATGGAAGTAACCTAAGTGTCCATCAGTAGATGAATGGATAAAGAAGATGTGGTACATATACACAATGGAATATTTTTCAGCAGTGAGAAGAAAACAAATTCTACCTTTTGCAACAACATGGATGTAGCTAGAGGGTATTATGTTCAGTGAAATAAGTCAGGCAGAGAAAGACAAGTATCAAATGATTTCACTCATCTGTAGAGTGTAACAACAAAGCAAAAACTGAAGGAACAAAACAGCAGCAGACTCACAGAACCCAAGAATGGACTAACAGTTACCAAAGGGAAAGGGACTGGGGAGAATGGGTGGGAAGGGAGGGATAAGGGGATTAAGGGGCATTATGATTAGCATACATAATGTAGGGAGGGCATGGGGAAGGAAGCATAGCATAGAGAAGACAAGTAGTGACTCTATAGCAGCTTACTATGCTGATGGGCAGTGACTGTAACGGGGTATGTGGTGGGGACTTCACAATATGGGTGAATGTAGTAACCACAATGTTGCTCATATGAAACCTTCATAAGATTGTATATCAATGACACCTTAATAATAACCAACTGAATGAATGATGAATGAATAAATTAATAGAGAAAGTTCTCTAAGAATCAAGAATCTAACCAGATTGTAAAACCAAAGACAGGAGTTATGTATAGAGTGAACACTGATAACTACATCTCCTCCTGATTCTAAATATCTCCAGCTCCACACCAGAAAGGACTGACTGCTAACACTTTTTATTTATATCACTCTCATTTATAAGGTATTTTGTGCTTACAGATCCAAGAAAATTAATTAGCTTAACTTTAAGTTACCTGAATTGAGTGACTTTTGATTTTACGCTTATTAATGACATCACAGCTACATAAATGTTAGAAACCAATTTCAGTGAGTTTAAATTTCAGACCATTTTTCCTTAAAAACTGGGTATCTGCATTATGTGTATATATTATATGTATTTACACACACACACACACACACACACACACACACACACACACCCTCCACATATCCAATCAAGTGCTGTTTCTTAATGACTCAAATTCCTCTAGCCCAGAGACTCCTTTCAGTGTTTAATGCCATCATAGGGTAAATGCCTTTTAAAATATATCAGCAAGTAATTAAACCTTCAGAGGTAAACTATCCTTACAATACTTTCTAAGTAACACTACAACACTGTAAAGCACATTGCAAAGTACTGGTGGAGTAGGAGAAAGAGGTCAGCTTTGGAATATAAACCTGAGTTCAGACTCCAGCTCAGTCACAGTGACCAACTCCATAGGCTTTAGTTTCCTGTCTGTGCCATGAAATATTAGTATTTTGTTGTGCTCTCATGATGATTTAAAGTAACATATAAAAGAGTTTAGTACAAGGCCTGTTAGATACTGAATAAATGGTACCTCTTACACTTACTTCACTGATTTTAGCATTTGTGGTATTAATTCAAGCTGCCCGAAAAATAGATCTGAGGTGAACTCTGTTGTAATTTTCTGAAAACCAGTTCAGTACCATGGCTCAGGTTGTTACTTATGTGCTTAAGACTAATTTTTTGGGTATAATAGAAAATAATTGCCTCCAACTCCTACAGAACAATCTGTCATACACCTGTCTATTTAGTTCAAGTCTATGTAATAATCTGTGACTGACATGTGGTCTGGGGAAATTTGAGATAACAAAGCCATCTGTATTTGCAAGTCATTACCAATTATTCTCCCAAGCAGCCCAATTCTACAAATCGGTTATTTCAGAACCACTCAGTTGCCATCTCTAGTTACATATTCACATTGCAAAGTTTACCTTTAATGTAAAGACCATATTTTCCATGCTTCTGAAAGATTTAGTAGCACTATATGTGAAGGAATTTGAATGTTCTAAGTTTCCAGAGGTGTTAATTTGTATGCAACAGCTAAAGGGAAAAAGTTGCTATTAAATAAAACCTCTTCTTGACTAAATTTAATTAGAATTAAATGAACTGGCTGATTTGAAATACCTGTCATATAAACAACAATATTCACAGAAGTATGTTCACAATAGTTACACTTCATTAGAAATCAGCACTCCACATGTAACAATGAAGCAAAACTGAAGGAACCAAATGGCAGCAGACTCAGAGCCTACAAGAATGAACTAGTGGTTACCAAAGGGGAGGGGTGTGGGAGGGCGGGTGGAGAGGGAGGGAGAAGAGGATTGAGGGGTATTATGTTTAGTACACATGGTCTGGGGGATCATGGGGAGAACAGTGTAGCAGAGAGAAGGCACATAGTGGATCTGTGGCATCTTACTACACTGATGGACAGTGACTGCATTGGGGTATGGGTGGGGACTTGATAATATGGGTAAATGTAGTAACCACGTTTTTGCATGTGAAACCTTCGTAAGAGTGTATATCAATCATACCTTAATAAAAAAAAAAAGTGAGGAGACAGCAGTCTGGATTAGCAGCCAAGTCTCAAGAAAGAGCCAGTTCTCCAGCTCCACTAAGGGTTAGGAATGAACTCATGATGGTGTTCTAACACCATACTGTTGGCTCAGCAGCCCTGGGGTAGCAGGGTCCAATGCTCGGCCTGCTCTGTCCTCACTCCAGGACGGCTGACACTGAAGCCAACCCAAACACCCCCATGAAATTACTCAGCCCATAGTGTCTGCAGTGCTGAGGCTGAGCAATCCTGGTTTGCATGGAAGAGAAGGAATATTTGTATTTGGATCATACTGAATTGGATTTCCTAAAGTCATGTCCTTAGAGAAGTCATTTATATCCCAGTGCTGTAAGAGAGACTTAAACCCACATACATTTCCCGACATTCAACAACCATTAAATTCTCTACAGACAGAAGGTACTGTATTTAATGGTCTCTGGTACTCCCCAGATGGCCCAGTATAGGGCTGGAATTTAGTTGCTCAGTAACACCTATCTAAAAAGCTTCATTTACCATCAAAAGGACCTCAAAATTGAGGGTAGCCTTGAGCTGGTTTCAAGGGGCCACCTTATTTCACATATATGACCAAAGGGTAAAAAAGCTAGTGACATCACAGTGGGACCCCACCCAGCTGCTAGGTCATGCACCTGCACAGTCACAATGGCCAAGGCCTTAAATACCCCACACTCGGGGCCTCTGGGCCTTGCAAAGCCCCTCCTTTTGGCAGAAATTACAATGTCGACCAGCCGTAAAGCAAAGAGCCATGGCATGAGGAGGGGCAAGAGCCGAGCTCCTCACAAGGGAGTCAAGAGAGGTGGCAACAAGAGAAAATACCAGAAGGGCAGCCTGAAGAATAGAAAGCGAGATGATGGTGAGTAAGGGATGAGCAGCCAAACGTGGGGGAGCTGGATGTCCCAGGCTGCCCCTGCTGGAGTTAACTCTCACAGGAGCCTCACACTCAGCCTGAGGACTTCATTTCTGATTACATTCACGTGTGGGCAGCAAGAGGCTGCATGGGTGTGTTCTAACTGGTGTCCCCGTTGCAAATATGTCCTTCCCCCACAGGCAAACGCCATTACTGCTCCCACTTGTGATCCCACCCACGGGCTCTGCTGTGCTGGGCTTCAAACCACACCAGGCAGCCAAGAGCGCAGAAGGGGAGTACCAAAGAGATGTGAAGTCAGATCAAAGCCAGAGAAGACCCTATCCTGTGGGTAAAATCCAACTGTAATGAAATGAGGAATGTATATGTTGGTTGTTTCTCCCCAACATCTCAATAAAATTTTGAAAACTGAAAAAAAAAAAAAAAGAAATCAGCACTCCACATTTTCTGTGGGTTTAATTTATAGAAAATGATTTCATATTTTTCCTCTGCCTTTTTAATATAAATAAATTATTTGTGATGAGGGCTACTTAATAGAAGAGGGAATAATAAGGACTCAATTAAAAATATATAGATAATAAGTATATGTACTTAATTAATAACTTTGGAAAGGTACTATATATAAGGTCTACAAAGACAAGTAATTAGCACAGGAAACAGACCTTTATTCTATCTGTGTAGCATTAAAAAGACAGGCTGACAAAGCTATAGCACTAACAACTTCAAAAAAGTGTCAACTGACTTATTTCAACCTCAGTTCCCTTCCTTAATGACAATTCTGATATCACAGAAAATTTCAAAGGGTCAGGTCTGAGTTATCACTTTTTCAGTGATGTCTCTCCTGACCACCCTATTTACCATTTTGCAACTGCACCCCCAGTCACTTTTCCTATGCTCAACCCTCGTCCCCACCCCCATGGCTCAACATTTTCTAACTTAACTTATAAATATTCATTTTTTATTCTGCCTCCACCCCCAACACACACTAAAATGTTAGTTCCACAAGGGCAGGGATTTTTTTGTATTCTGATGAAGCCTGAACATCCTTAATAGTGTCTAACAAATGGCAGGCACTCAACAAATAATTACTGAATGACTGAATGAGTCTATAAAACAGATAAGAGCAATAAGCATATTAATATGCCACTTAAAAGATTAATTCTCCAGATCAGATTGAGAACATTCCTGAGTAATGGTTAAATATCCCACCACTTCAGATTACTCAGCTCACATTTCCCTTAAAGACCCTACCTGCCTGAGTGCGTTCCTATGGCCACCACTGTGCCACTTGGATGAAAATCTGCACAGTGTCCTGGTTCCTAGAAGAGAGACAGACAGCTGTTGGGGGGTACATGAGAAAGTCTCCCTAGATCTAGGGAACAGTGGCAAAAACATATTTGAAAGTATCTTGTTTTATATGAACATGGAATTCCAATCAACTTTACTGTAGCCAATGGGAAATACCACATGGATATGAGAAGAAAAAGAATTTCAGAGCAGAAGGGGGTATGCTGGTAGAGTAGTGAGGGGAAAGGACAACTAGCTTGTGGCTAGGCAGTGGAACACTAATGAGGATAATAACAAACATGTGCACAGTTCTTCAGAGACTATAAGGAATCTGTATATACCTTTTGAGCTAGACAAGGTGGACATCTGGGTGGGGTAGGGAGAAAATACAGTAAGAGACCAGTTCAAAAAGAAGATAGAGTCTGTTAGTGAGCAGCACTTACTAAATCTGACTGCAACACCACCAGAGGCCCACACATTTCCAAAATAATGCTCCATAAACATATGAAATCTTTAAGATTTTTACTACTAAAACTAAGGAAAAATTGAGCTCTTACCCTGCTAATCTGCTTTTTTAGAGTGGGTTCATGTTATACTTTGTGACTAAACCACTTTCCCCTACACCATTCCCTTACTAAACTATGTAAGTACACTTGTTTTTAGCCAATGCTGAGTCCTTTTTCTTTTGCTGCTGCCAATTTCCCAATTAGGGAGTTTCTGTGGGGAGATTATAATCGCATTTTGCTTTACTCACATCTACGAGCCTGGTCCATTCCAGCTTGTGTACCACTGAGTTCCACATGCACACCTGTCTGTCCTGAGCACATGTCAAGAGCAAATCTTTGAAGGGATGTGTGGCAAGACCCCAAAGCTCATCTGTATGACCCTGAAAATGAAATGCACACTTTGTTGTAAGAAACAAAAATTATCATGAAAAATATTCAGTTAATTATTAAAATCATAAACATTACCTGTACTTCTATTTGGAAGCCATCATTAAATGTTCCCCGTAAAATAAAATTTCGTGATGTGCCTACTAAAAATTGATCTGCCTTTCCTTCTGCTACAGCTCTGATTGTTCCATACTGATCAGGAACCTGAAAAAATAAATTTGAAATCATATGCATAGTAAAATGCAATTATTACTACCTGTGGACAGCATTTATAGCTGTAAGCAATTTATGAGGTAATAAATGACAGAACTCCAAATTTGAAAGTAATATGCTAATATTATGCTAATAGTGATTTACTTGTTCATACAATTACATTTTATTACACAGAAGTTATAATGCATTCTTTTCAACATTCTTTGCTTTCAGTCTATTGAAGTTTATATTTTATATGGTTTCAAGAGTTATGTGTTAGCAGTAGGGGAAAAAGGAGTAGGTTCTATTTTATCAAGAACGTGGTCTGTTTTTGTTACTTACAAGTTACTTTACTTTGGGTGAAGTCATTTAGCCCAAGACAAAACTTATCTGTAATATGGAGATAATAATAATAATAATACATGCCCTATACCTACTCTTGATTGTTGTAAGGATCAAAATACAAGAATAACATATATGGCATTTCTTTGTAAACTAAAAAGCAATATACTATAAAGTGTTATAATGCATTAATAGGACTCCTTGGGAGATCAATCTTATTTAATGTACTACATGGTATACTCTTAGTCAATGTTTTATTAAAAATACAATAAGCTCAAAGAATGACTCTTCCTGAAACAATGCAATTGATTTCTTCTTTTTGAAGTAGGATCCAAATGACTCCTAAAAGCACAAAGAACTATTCTAACAGTAATCCAGTTTATGTTGGAAATGGCAAAGGGAGGAATTAACTTGATGGGATAGCTTTTGATTACAAAGGATATGAGTTTTCTGTGAAGAAAAGAAATAGTAAAGGAGATGGCATTTCCACTATATGGAAATAACACAGGTTGTGATAAACAACTCTTTCTTATCTATATTCTTGGAAAAAAAAACCCAAAGCAATACTATTAGGATTCTCTTTTTTAGAGATTTTATCTGGAAACCATGTTTTGTGTTAAAAACAGTATAAATTAAAAATTTCAGTCACCAAAAAACAGAAGCAACATTAAATTCTGTGAGATTTGCCCTTGCTTTGAGAATCACTGACCTAAAATACTATTATTCTTAACCATTTCATTTCTTGAGACCTAATTCAATTATGTAAATTTTCAATGAGCACATTGATTTCATTGATAATACCTATCAGGTTTTTAGTCCCATTGTTTAAAAGATTACATTCAAGTTTTAAAATTAAACTGGCCATTTTGTATGCCTTGGCAGTGGATATAGTATCTGATGAATATTTGCTGAATTTTAGTTTGCATGGTTATAGTTTTGGATCACTAAAAATTAATTTCAGAAATAACAGGCAAGTTAATTATCCTGCCAATCTTTTTTTTTTAATTCTTTCAGATTATTTTGTTTAGTGAATGGTCTTTTTGTTTTGTTTTGTTTTTTGAGGGAATGAAATGACAAGAAATGTACAACAATTTCCCAGAAAAGTGTGTCATTTTAATGTGACACAAAAGATGTGACTTAAGAGGGCCTTTAACATTTTTAAATGTTCATGTTCCATTTTCATTCTTACCTCTATTTCTCTTTCAGGATTCAGATCATGATCCCACAAAATTATTTTTCTGTCTTTCCCTCCTCCAGTTAATAACATACCATTTCTCATCTGACAAAGTGTAAACACACTGCCATCGTGAGCTTTGATTTGTTTGCTTATCTGATAAACACCTAATATGAAAAGGGAAAGACAAAAACACTAGTGATAACATTTCCATCAGAATTTAGTATCTTTTCAGGAGAAAACTTTAATAGAACTACAATGTGAATAGTTGTTAAGTTCCTATGATTCAATACACAAAAACCTATTTTCAGCAAGTTGTCTGCAAGGCAGGTAGTGAAACTTAATACAATCTTTGGCATTTACGTTAATTTTTAGTAACTCTGAAAATACTTCAAAATACATTTTTTTAAAAAGGTAAGCTAAAGTAGTACCATAGACCATGAAGGATATTTTAGCCTCAGAACTTAACTATCTCTTATAATCATTTTATATAGTCATTAGATAAGGTACTACTATTATGGTTTTAGAACTGAGGACCCAGAGGTACAGAAGTGGCTTAGACAATGACACATAGTTATTTATTGACAAAGCTGTGACTAGGACTCACATCTTCACTCAATGTTCCTCTGAAGGAAGCAAAAAAGCCTTCATTTCCTTTTGAGGTATCAGTCATATTTAACATTTAACAACCACTGCTGACCTGGAGGCCTTTTGCTCTGCCAAGGATTAACCCCTTATTTGCTTAGATATGGGGAACTAGGGAAGATATTGGGGCAGAAGTGGGCACTGGTGGCTTCTGACTAACCAAACAAGTATTTTAGTATTTTTAAAATTGGTCCAACTGTACCAGTTTGATGACTGAAAGACATCTCAGCTTTCTTGTACACTCATAGTACTTAACAAGTACCCAGGGAGGGATAAGACAGGTATGAGAAAAATATTTTAGGTCAAGTCCATGCGGAGATTGATTGAATGAAAAAATAAATATATAATGTAATCAGATTCTTTAGAATTAGGGTAGTACTCAAATGTTTTTCTTTGGTGTTCACAATGCCTTATTCAAGGAAACTTTGCTGACTAGTGAGGCTGGCAGAGCAAAAATAAAGCTTTTTTTGGAAGTTGGTATTTTGAAGTACTAGTTACCACATTCAAAATGGGAAGGTAAAACCTTATCTAAACCTTGCCAAAGTAAATCAATAAATAGACCTTAGGTCCCTTGGAAAAATGAAAAGAATTATAAGTTTAAAAATTATTCAATGGGAAGATGGGTGAAAGTGGTCAAAAGGTACAAATGTCCAGTTATAAGTTCTGAGAATTTAATGCACAGCATGGTGACTATAGTTAACAATACTGTATTGTATACTTGAAAGTTGCTGAGAGTACAACTTAGAGGTCCTTATCACAATAGAAAAACCTGTAACTCTGCGAGGTTGATGTATGTTAACTGAACTTACTGTGGTAGTCATTCTAAAATATATACATGTATCCAA